TTGTGTTAAACTCTTGTATCACCCATTTAGTGTTATATGTTGATTCTTATATTTCTCCCCTAGTCCCACAGCCTTTTTTCATCCAGTTGGTGTTAAATGATCATTCTTGGAGGTGCAGACTAATCCCTTATCATGTTATCATCCATTTGGTATTAAATGTTTGGTTATTGTATGTGTAACTAGTCTCACAGATTTCTAGCACAGTAGTAGAAACAATGAGATTTCTGACTCACAGACCCCACTGCCCCAGCCACATTCCCAAATACACTTTACCATCCTGTCACCACCCTTTAGACATTTAAATATAACAAGGCTTTATCCCAAATTTATGTGGCAAAATATGATTTGTTGTAGAGTGGTGTCTTTGATCCAGAAACTACTCATTATCCTCTACTACTGTTTAAAGTACTACCTCACCTATTATCATTGCGTCAACTGTAAATATTAGAAACAACTCACTGTCGTGATTATATCTACAAAATTTTATTTTTCCATTTACTTTTCAGTGGCACTTAAATAGCTCCTTCATTGCTGTTTTACTTAAAAAAAACTTGCTGCTTTTGACAATAACCTTTGAATGATCTAAATAAATATTGAATTTATTATATTTTTGTTGACTATATGGATCGTGGAAGTTGCTGTATTGGGACATCAACTGATATGCCAGTCTCACAATTTTATCTTATCTATATGTTCAGTACAATTATTTAAACTGTTGCGTACATGTGCCTTGTTTCCATTGATTACGCTGCTTTGAGACTGTCCCTCGAAAAAAGCACATGATGACTTTGAATGAGACAGACCGACACTCATTTCATTCATTGTGACGATACATTAAACTCGTCACTATGTTTCGAGTAACTGTTAAATACTTATATAGTACTAGATGACGATATTTTAATTTGCCTTAATTGTTTACTGTGTATTTTAATTACATATTGACTCTCGGAACGTGCTCCGTTAGCTTTATAATGGCGCCATTGTTCCCAGCATTCTATGTTGTTTAGCGCGAGGTGATAGCGTTACCGTTTCTAACCCGAATCTGGGAACCTCGAATATCCCGCTGTTGATGATGATGTAAACATCTGAGGTTCTCCAAGAGGACGGAGAGTATAAATACTTCCCCGTCCTTGCAGACTACATTGAAGGCTGTCTCCTTTCTGACCATTATTTAAAACTTCTGTCATGACTAATCTTATTCAGGCAATGGTTAACTCTAAAATGTTATATTATTAACATATCCAAATTTCAGATTTTCCCAGATTTTGAATTATGTAAATTTCGGACAGGTCCCGATTTTAAATTATAAGAATTTCGGATTCATCCTAAATTCGACTTTGCCCAGATTTTCAGTTATACAAATTTCCGATTTGTCCATATTTTTAAATTATATGATTTTCGGATTTATCCAAAATTAGTATTTATCTAGATTTTGGATGGACACAAATTTCGGATTTTTCTAAATTTCGGAATTAGGCAAAATTTTCTTTGAAAGTTTTATTTTATAGATATTTAATATAGATATATTAGTATAAGCCTCTACAAATAAGATATTTTTCTATTGTAAAAACATATAATCTTTATTTTATTGAAATTGCTGTATAATACACATATGATAAAATTGTTTCGGGCAGTATACATGAGCAATTATGTAATAACAACTGTATGTTTAGCTCCAAAAATAACCTTCCTAACATTTCTACAAGATTCAAAGATGTGTGACAACGGAATTGCACATGAAAATCTTTCATCGTCATCCAGCATTGATCGACGTGATGCAAGTGCCAAATTACAATTTTCATTCATTGATGCAACTTCAGTTCCAACTGCATTTAGTGTTACATTTATGTTTTCTAGATAATCAGTTGTATCTTTGGCGAACATCATTGATTGACCAGATGAACTTGAATAATTATCGCTGTATCTTGCAACAGCAAGTATCGTTGTGGCAACGTTTATGTAGTCATGACCAATCTCAATATCTCGTTCATCGATCATACATTCGGCACTTTTGAATAACACCACAATACTATTATTGACAAAACCAAATCGATCACCAATTCCTTAAGTGTATCATCTAATTTTAAAAGTCTACCCTCGACTTCAATAAATGCCTCAGCAGGTAAGAAATATCAACTTGTATCATGAACTTGTAATTCAATTCTTCCACGTTCGTCAGGAATATGTGCGTCATAAGAATAATACTGATAATCACGTACTGAATCATCTTTGAGAACTGGTGCATCCATGTCATACGCGGGATCAGACATAAGCTTGAACATTTGTATTATTGTCGTCTTCGTCTAACAAAAAGACCACTTCCTGCTATTAGACTTGCGGTTATATTTTTTCCTTTTCCGCCATTGGTACATCAAAACTCAGCTAGTTTTTGATTATCAGCTTGATTTATTTTTTACTTACATTTTGCGGGCACCATGTCAGTCCTAGCCAGTTTCACTGACTGAGGTCGGACCTCAGGCGGTCTGCTTAATAATCGTGCTAGTCTATCCTTGATTCCTGACAATGCTTTGCTAGCAATATCACCAAAAGAGCATATACCTTTCTCACGAACCGTATCAATAGCTTTCATTTATAGTTGCTTTGCAATCGGTATTGCTTTGGGGGCTATTACTCTAAACAGACCTTGAACAACATCACCCAGTCCATCTCGTATGTCGTTTTGTATACTGGTAATCGAGAGTTTATTACCCTGACCATGGTAGGTCCACGTTGAGTACCATATATGATCATTTTATTAGTAATTGATTTTATCACTTATTGTATATAATCACTGTGATAATAGTCGGCTATTTCATTAATGAGGGACCGATACACATTAAGGTCCATAAGAAAACCTGTAAAAAATCGTTTACAATTATCAGCTGCTTCATTAATGGTTTCTAATGAATTATTACCAGCTCGCTTTCCTCCAATAAGGATCTCTAGTCGATTTACATCAGCAAAGACATTATTGGGGCAAGTAATAAAACCACTTCCAGACCACTTCAAGTAGAATCGTTTTGTAATTTGTCTTCCTTTTCTCTTTTTTCCGTCTCCTTATATTGTTTAAACCAATCGTCTTTGATGATGGGAACATATTGCCATTCTTCATCCTCTTTGCGTGGTTTTAGAGATGAAATTTGTAATCGTGATTTGGGAGATTATTATTGGTTGCGTTCTCTTGTTTACATTTTTGCTTGTTTTGCTTGTTCTCTATGTTCTTCACTTTTCTTTCTCCTCTCTTCTTGAATGGCTTAAATTATCTATTTCCCTAACATAATTCTGATATAATGGATCATCAAATTAAATTTTTTTAACATTCATACTTATGTGATATAATAATTTTTGCCGTTGTTCACGGTTTTTAATATCTTTAGCGTATTCATTAATTTATCTCTTTGACTAAAACCATCCACTGCAAATTCAGCAATTTGTTGTAGGTTTTTAAGGTCATTCATAATTTCTTTAACAGCATTTTCATTAAATATATTTATCAATTCAGGCTTACTTGTTGCAAGACTCTTTTGTTTAGGAAATGGTGCTTCAGCGCCTTCAGGTATTTGTTGTATTGGTTGAGCAGCAGCTATTTTGGCTGGAAGTCTACGTAAAATTAATTTTGTTTTTTTTTTAGTTCTTTCTTCTATTTTCCAGTTGTTTCAGCGGGGTTTTTTTCATAACACAGGAAGAAGATCTTTAGTAGTCTCAGTGATATATTTAAATAATTGTTTAGTATCATCTTCACATCTTCAAATTTGATTTGAGATTCCTGACGCGATTGTAGTTGCTGATTAACATAATCACGGACAGGTAAATATTTTTAATTGCTTCAAGTCGCTCTCGAGCTAACCTAGCTGAGTCTGGTTCTCCAATATTCATTATTAATGATATTTATACTGGCTGTTTAATTTATTGCAGAAGAGAGGGTGAACGAGCAACGCTAGGTCGAAGATAACCAGACCCAATTAGAGATGTTTTTGGTTAAAAGTTATCGTCATTATTTTTTATCATTCATAGGAACCTTTTTTCCAACAATAAGGTCTCTAGCAAAGTGGTCTGTTAACCCTCTCTGCTGATATTTTACATTTGCTTGAGAAGAAACTCCTTGTTGTTCTATACCGCTCATTGTTCTGTTATTCCCTCCAACATTTGTTTCCTTTGGATCAAGTGTTAATGTTTGTGGTAATCATTGGTCAAGCAAAAGTACATTCTTAATCAGATGTTCTAATTCAGCTTGTCTAGCAATGGGATTGGCACTATTCGCTACAAGAGCTTCAGTTAATATTTGTTTCCTTCTTCGATCTTGCAATATTTTTTCCCGCTGCAGCCTCCTGTTGATCTTTACTAGTCCTAATAAACCTTTGTTTTGTAGTTTCTAATGTACTTCAGATATTGGTAGAGTGTCAGGATGTTTTCCAACTAATGCCTCAGTAATCATTTTGGAAATTTGAGCAGTCTTCTCTTCAGCTGCTACTTGTCCACGCCGTGTCTCTTCTACTTTTTTCTTTAACTTTGGACGAGACTGCGCAAGGCTTTCTTATTGACACTATGTGTGTCTTTATCTTATTTGTTTTCCCATTTAATTTCAATAGCTGTAGAAATTTTTTGCACGTAGTTATCAATAAAATAGCGAAACATTTTTGAAGATAGCGCGAAAGTTTATCAAATAAAAATAAATAATATGTATCATTTGTTGCTTTATGATACAGTTCAATACATTTATCTCTTGTTTCATCATTGGACCTCTCGTTTGCAATATTTTGTACATCAATGTTGTCCAGTCATAGAATAATATAAAACAAGCAGCATTGCGCCTGATAAATCTATCAACATTAAACAATCCTTGCACAAGATAATAGCATTACATTTTTTGTTACCTAACAATGAAAAAAAAATAGTGTTATTCATTTCATTGTTGTGTAGAGGAATATTATTCCCGGAAAATAAAGTAGCCTTAGAGACAGCGATAAATGCCAATGCTTGGTTGTCGTCGCTGACAAACCACTCCGGTGGCCTAGTGGTTAGAGCGTCCGCCTCGGATGCGGGAAGTCATGGGTTCGGTTACCGGTCGAATCATACCAAAGACTTACAAAAATAGTACTAACATATGTCTCGTTTGGCGCTCAGCTTTAAGAGGTTAGTGTTAGGACTGGTCGGCCTTGTGTCATGATAATGTGACTGAGTGGGACGTTCATGCTACATGTCTTCGGCATGATGCCCAAGTGCTACACATCACTATAAACTGCCACACTGCAGAAATCGTAGCGATATGACTGAAAAATAATTTAAAACTACGTTAAAAATCATAATCACATGACAATACATCAAAATAATTATTTTATGTTCAGTTTAATCAAGTTGATGTACTGGAATATGCTCGTCTGCTTGTTTTATGATAAAAGAAATCTTGATCGACTTCAAAATCGTCACGCATTTTGCTTTTGTATTCATTAAGCAGCTTCTTTATCCTTTTCTGGATGAATTGTGTAAATATAAATTCTCTTGTAATTAAAATTATCGCCTAGTAGTACGTTTATCAGCAAATTTGCTTTGCCCGGTCCTATCTGCCAAGAATGAGATATGGTAGATCACTGTTGTGTTTGTGTTTTATTAATCGTTCGGTATCAATGCTTAATATTGACATTCTATATATTTGTTACATAAAATTGTAAAAGACAACAAAAAATAATAAGCCACTGCACAAAATTCGGCACATTATTAGGCGATTCGGTAACTAGAAATAAAAAAAATTATATTTGTTGATTTGTCATGGCATTCTAAAACATTTGGTGATACAATGACAGGTAACTTGTCAATGTCAAATTAGTAAGTTTAGAACTATAAATAGATTATCCACCAATAAATGTTGTTTACGTGCAATCAGTTAGTTATTTACACTAAAATCTGTCTGTCGACGATAGTAAACTCAAGAATTCTGGCGGAGCTGTTGCCTGCAATATCGATATGACAGGAAATGAAATAATAAATTTAGAAACTGCATATCTAACGCTAAATTTAAATCTGTCTCAAGCAGTAAGTTTTCTGCAGTTAATGTACATCGATAATAGTGAACTCAATAAATCTAGCGATACAATGAGAGGTAATCTTCACATGTTCGGCAAAAATATAATAAATATAGAAGTTGCATATCCTTCACCAAATTTGGATCAAACTCAAGCTGTTGGCAATGCGCAAGTAATGACAAAAGTACTTTATAAAGTTAGTGGGGCTGTTACAGGCAATTTGGCAATGACAAATAATGCAAAGGCAACTGGGCTATCAATAAACTCGCTTTCCACTGGAGATATTGATGAAATCAGTTATACACAATTACGTGGTGAACTGACATCTTAATTACATTAATCTGGCAGACTAATAACTGAAAGTATTAATATGGGCGGACATGTACTATGAAGCACTTAACGTAATAATAAAATGCTAGCAAAAATTGACTGGAGAACAAATGCCAAATTCGTCAAAAACATCTTTGTTTAGTTGAATGGCAACATAGTGACAGGCTCTTTAAATATGGAAGCTAATACAGAACGGTCATCGTACGCTCCAGATGTTGATATTTATTTATCAAACAAAACATTCTGATGACGGGAAAATATCATTTTTGAATAATATTCAATATTTGTTAGCAAATTATTTAAACCGCTGGCGGTGTAATGATTAGAATGATATATGGGCGCTAATAGTATAATCTCATCACACACTACAAATCCAGCAAATGATCTAGTGAATACAGCTTATGCAATTTTTATTGGTGGAGTAAAACGAATTAAAAATAATGCTGGTATTACTCTTCGTTGTTTTTATCCTCCAAAAGGGCAAAAATGTGGCTTTATAATATCGGCATCATCTATATTCTTGTACATCTCGGCTGGCTTAAAGTAACAAAGATAAAAAGAGGACACCAACAGGCTTTATAAATTTTAACAAAAAAAATTATTTTCGTATAAAAACACAAACAATACGAAAAAAGACTTACAGCTTGTGAATATAATCCAAATATTAATCCCAGAATTGAAACACAAATCCTATCATTAAATCTTCCTAAATAAATCAAAATTTGAATCTCGGCGAAGTTGAGATATGTCGGCCGATGACATCAGACGAATGAAGTATTGATGTCAACAATTCCACGTTGAATTTTATGAATCACAAAAAAATTTCAAACGTTCCAGGTTGAATTTTATGAATAACAAAAGAATATTACGGCTTTTAGCTCTGACATTAATTTCGCTAGCATTGTTCAAATGCGAGGACCACATCTAAAAACAAAATAAAATATTTTGACCTTATTAGCAAATACTGTAATTCCGATTTAAAAGTATATTGAAAACTTAATAGAATTTTATATATAAAATATAAATAGTCCCAACAAATATTATAAAATAATAAGCGCACCGCGGTAAATTGCAAGAAGAGGCTCAAATTAATAATCCACATAATCGCCTAAAATGACTAAAATAAAAAAATAAAGTATTAAATAGAAATAAAAACCTAAACAACATTTATAGAAAACAAGATCTATTTTAAAAATTAGGTAAGTGATATTGTGACAAACAAACAATAATAGACTTTGCTAAACTAATAAGCGCAAAACTAATTATAAAAGCTATTATGCCATTTACTAATAATGTAGAATATGATCATGCAATTGTTGATATATCACTGAAAAGAATAGATGAGTGTAATAGTGAATTTCATAATTTTAGTAAAGCTCAAATAAAAGATGTTTAAATGAGGTGAAATTAGTTGAACTTGAAAGAAAAAATGATCATATCGACAAAACAGTTTTTTGCGTCCAACAACGCTTGAACAATCTACACAAATTGATAAACTTTATGATAAAGATAATGATAATGACATACTAAAAAGTTCTTTATCTACTGAAAGATGTAATAACAAAAGTAGTTCTACTCAAAACTTTTCGTCATCAATGTTATTGTTGCATAATCAATTGTACGAGCATTTCGCGTCCTTAAAAATTTTACGTTAGATGAAATTGCTATAGTTCTCGGATATATTACTGAAACAGAAAAAAAGCTAAAATTTTGGTAAATAATATATTAAGTATGTTTGAGTTTGGAAAGGTAGTAACGATTAAAAAAATTGTACTCGTAGAGTTCTCTAAAGAAAAATGAAGTATTAACAGATAATAAATATAAAGGTACAAATTCTCAAGTTTATGATAATATAGAGATTTTATGGGAAGCGATGTTAATGCTGAATTTAGAAAATCACTTGATGTTGTTAGCGCTAGAACGTTCACTCTTGTGTAATTTTAGAGTATAAAAAATTAAAAGAGAGCCTATTATGGATTTTAATCACGTTTAAAAAATTATTCCGAAATCGACTTTGACGCATTAATGCAGTAGTATAAATACTATCACAAAAAACAGGTGCACAAAAATTGCTATAAATATTATAGCAAATTAATTTGTGTAATTTCGAATTTTACGATTTTGCTGACATGCTCAGGTATAATCTCTGGCTGGGCACTGTTAAATCCATTTTTGTTAATTATTTCGGGAGTCGGCGTTAGTTTATCAACTACATTAAAGCGAATCGAGCGAAAACACGAAACAAAAATACACTTGAAAAACAGCAAGTATAACATATAAAAATTGTATTATCTCAAATTAGATCATATTTGCGTTGTGCAATATATGACCTGGATGATTTAATTTAATTCGTGAAAATTACATACTTAATAATATTTTGCCGATGAGCGTAAGTAAGTATGAAAATAGTTATCCAAACATGTATTAGGTAGAGTGTGTTTATAATAGTTAATATAATCTCTCTCTCTCTCTCTCTCTCTCTCTCTCTCTCTCTCTCTCTCTCTCTCTCTCTCTCTCTCTCTCTCTCTCTCTCTCTCTCTCTCTATATATATATATATATATATATATATATATATATATATATATATATATATATATATATATATATATGTATATATATATATATATGTATGTATGTATGTATGTATGTATGTATGTATGTATGTATGTATGTATGTATGTATGTATGTATGTATGTATGTATGTATGTATGTATGTATGTATGTATGTATGTATGTATGTATGTATGTATGTATGTATGTATGTATGTATGTATGTATGTATGTATGTATGTATGTATGTATGTATGTATGTATGTATGTATGTATGTAGGTATGCATGCATCTATCTATCTATATATATATGTATACATATATATATAGATAGATATATATATATATATATATATATATATATATGTGTGTATATATATGTATGTGTATATATAGATATAGATATATATATATATATATATATATATATATATATATATATATATATATATATATATATATATATATATATATATATATATATATATATCGATGTACCTAGTATGGTATTTTACCAAAAACTCCTTTGGTCACTCCTAGTAGTATAACAAGTCCAGTTTACGGCCATAGAAGAAGTTGAGAGAATGTTGAATACATATCTGCGAAGATGGATAGAAGAACCAAGAGGCTTCACTAGTATCGGCTTGTACAGATCCGTCAGCATGTTTCCATTAGCACTATCGTCAGTAATAAAGGAGTTCATAGAACATAACCAAATAGGTGATGATGTTGAAACACTTTGCAGATGAGACAAATGAGTGAAGCAGCCGCAGAACTAGGGACAGGCAAAATATTGTTGCGGAAAATGCAGTTGAAGAGGCAGACTCCAGACTGATACATGATAGTAATAAGAAGGTCTTGTAGTCTAAAATGATTTGTGTGGCAAGCAGCAAGCACAGAAGAAAATCATGCTATTCCCCAGAAAGAAATACGTCATGCAGAAGAGGAAGACAGGCACGTTAAAGCCGTCTGCATGAGGAAGCATGGTTTTGGCTACACTGGGAAGCTGCGAGGTAAAGGAAAATGTCTTGGAGAGACATCTGGAAAGGTGGTGCCCATGAAAATAATTTCCTCTTACTCTCATTCTATGACGATCTGCCTACACCTATAAACCTGAATACAAGGGAGTAACTCATGATCAAAAATAGTACACCTTGTGGGAAAAGTACAA